GACCTCTGTTCACGCACCTTTAGAGGCTCAAATCTAGGCTTAGGTCCCATGATAGTCAAGGCAAGTCCATCAGATGGAAGCCTGAACAACAACAAATTAAAGATTAAATGCAAAATTTTAGTCTATCACAAAAACAAAAGCATGTAAGAGTTTGTGGATAACTCACATTCTCCTAAAGTCATCAACAACCGGCAAAATTGGGTTGATTAAAACATCCGAAGCATCAAAAGCATTAGAAATACTCCTAATCTCTGCAAGTCATAATGGTAAACAATGATAAATATATGATGGTGTAGTTTTATATAGAGTCATGTAATTCATGAGTAATAACATTACATACCTTTGTATTCTCCTAACTTGGCCCACCTTATCAAACAAATAACGACAGAACCAAGAGACTCTTGCGCAACTTTGCTAATTTGGTCAGCAAACTTTCCCCATAATGAACATGGTAGACGGTTATCTCTAACCAAAGAAAAATTAAAGAATTAAAAAACCAAGATAATCAATCAGAAGAAAAGGTTTAATAAAATTGTGAAAAAAAACAAAAATGCTTACTCAGTGTCTCTTAGTTGAAAATCAATCTTCTTGGTAGGCTTACCATGGACGTCAATTATTTGAACTTCTCCAACATTGACCAATTGACCCAGAACATCTAAAACAGAATCATAGATGTAAATATATATCCCAATGATTAACGTAATATTTATATACAAACATAAATAATTATAAAAAATACTCACCTACCAACTTGTTTTGATCCAAGTTACCAGACAGAATAGTTGTAAAATCAACTAAGTCAAGCCAAACCTCATTAGAAATGGATGGTGAGGGAGAGAAGACAGTAGAGTAGTGGAAATTGATTCTGTAGGAATGAGATGTTGATCGATATGTTCATGTTGCCTTATTAACCGAGAATTCCTCAATTATCTTCCAATCTCCTTTCTTCACATAACGCTGGAATTTGCTGATGTGTTCCTTTTTGATACCTGCTTGAATTTTGTTACCCTGTAAAAGAAATAAGATGAGTTATAACGTAACTCATATATATTACAATGATAAATGGAAAATGTTTGAATAGTACTTACATCCTTATCAGCTAGAATCATTTCTAACGACATGCCAGAACCTTTTGTGAAATGAATCCAGGAATGAAGTATTCTAACTTGAATACTCCAAGCCGTTTTTAAAGGCTTCAAGTTGTTGACTGGTGTGTATCGAGTAAGCTGAGCCATTGTTGTGTTTTTTTTTGTTTTTTGCAGGTTAAAAGAAAAGAGGAAGAGCCGATTTTGGTGAGTATAATGGTAAAACCAAGAGGGTTATTTATAGTTGTAGATAGGCGATTAAAATCTTTGAAGATTTGGAAAGATATTAGTTAGATAATACTTAATTTAAGGTATATTCTAAGGTAGCAAAGAGGAATATTTCTCATAACATATATAACAAACAGATTAGACAATAATTTCAAAGATTTTTAGGAAACTGAAATATATTTTTAGGATTCGAGTTATATGGTTTAGCTTCATCAAAGATTACGAATCTTACTCATAAACAAAGATTTAGGTAAATTAAATTATTGTTTGTTTATATACTATTCGAGTTAAATTGTTTAGCTTCATCAAAGATTACGAATCTTACTAACATTTTCAATCTCATCTTGTAAAATAACTATATGAGTATTATAATTATCGGTATTAAAACGTTTAAAATGATATATCATTTTCGAATAGCATTTTTTAAAAAAGATTTCTTTTATAAAATGTTTGAGAAAACAATGATATATCATTTTATGTTTACAATTTCAATAACATTTTTATAATTCACTTTATAACATGTTCGAATGATGGATTACTATATAACATTTTGAGTAACATTTGCAATGTGTTAAATTTTTAAATTGTCGGATTGTGTTAAATTATGACTCTCGAATTGATTATTGAACATCATAGTGTTAAATTGTCGAATTGATTAGAATAAGACATTCTCAAATTATATTGAATTAGATTATATTGAATTAGATTAAACTATATTAATTATTGAAATTATATAAACAAAATCTTTTGATATCTTTAAACCCGTTGACCCGTTGACCCGTTAAATATATATCAGTGAAATGGAATAAAATGTTTATAATTAGATATCTCTAATGGCATATATTGTAATTTTTTACAAAATCTAAGTTATGAGCCTTAGGATGTACTTCCCAAATATTAGTATAGGATTAGACATCATTTTTAGGGGTTCAGTCTACCATCTTTTATATATAAGAAATATATATTCAATTATGAAATCAACTCTTGTGAAATTATGAGATAGTTTTATTGTTTCTCAATTGGGCACTTAGTAGAAATTTGCCAGTGGTCAATGGTCCACTTATTCCCCACATTGATATTTTTGCAAATGAGGCTCTTTGTCTTACTCATTAATGGAGATCCATTCAAAGATATATTTTTTTCTTTTTGTTTTTTTAAAAACAATAAAAAAAGTTTTTGCTCACATTTTAGAAGAGAAGCAATTCACAAATAATACTGACATTTATTGTAATGAACATTGCTCATTTGATCTTCTGCGTGATGGAGAAGCATGCAGAAATCATTATAACTATGTGAACACAAAAGCGTGAACAAATGGGTTGGCGCTTATGATAACGCTAAACGTATGCAACAAAGCGGGTGGTCGGAGGATGATGTATTGGCGAACGCGCATGAATTATATTCAAGTGCTGGTAAAGGAAGTTTCAAATATATAAAAGAATGGCTCGCTATACATGATCAACCACGTTATGGTAGTCAAGTAGGAGAAAAAACTGGTTCTGGAAGCAGTAGATCTAAAAGAGCCCAAGAGAGTGATGCTAGTGACTCAAACTCTGTAGGATCTAGTGCTCGTCCAATGGGAAGAGATGCTGCTAAGAAAAAAGCTAAAAAGAAAGGTAAAGGCGCAGCCTTGGAAGTGGTCAACGAAGAGTGGAATGAATTTAAACAATTCAAGTCACAAGAGTTGGATCGGTTGGACAAAATAGCTATGATGCAAAATGAAGCAAACCAATTGATTAAGGAAAAAACTCAGGCTAAAAAGATGAAGATGTTTATCAAGCTAACTGAAAAGAAGAATCTCGATGACAAGAGCAAAGAGTTGTTGCAGAAATTAAGTTTGTGAGTTGAGATTATTGTACTAATTAAGTTAAGAGTGTTTCCTTACTTGTTGTGTGCTTATTGTATTGCATTTTAAATTTATGTTCATTGTATGTGTTTTAGTAATGATTATTTCTATTTCTCGTTTATATTATTTGTAAATTTTTTTAAAAATAATATATAAAATAAAAAAAAAATTATTCTATAAAATTATTTAATATCTAATTATTTAAATTTAATTTGATATTAACTGTGATTAATAATATGTAATCACAAAAAACATAAACATAAATAAAATGAAAAATATGAAATAAAAATGGTAGGGTAAGATGTTGTAATTTTATTAAACAAAACTATTGTAGAGGGTAAAATTTATGTAGGTGTTGAATAATGATGTGGAAGAGAGAGAAATGATGTGGAATGTTAAAAGAAAAAAAGTGGGTGTTGTATATGGGTAACCATTGTAGATAGTTTAAGAACCCGATCCAGATTTTGTGTCCTTGCAAGACTTTTGGTTGATAAAAAGCAAAAAGACAAAAATACCTTCATCTTTTTCATAGAGATAAGATTCTTTGTAAACCTAGGCACCTCATCTTTTTTTTCACTATTCCCATTCATTTTTTTTAATTTTTTATTGTTGTTTAATGTTTATGTTAAAACATGATAGATACAGCTAAATATTAACGGTATACCTTTTTAGCAGCTCAAAAAAAAGTAATGATATAAAAATAATTAAAAACGATATAAAATAATGGTAAAAAAACTAAAATTATCGCTTTTAGTAATATTTTTTTTTCTTTTTGGTGAGATGGAAGACAAAGTTCCCCATAATTTATTAAAAAAAGATAACAAAAATTATATTTGAGCATAGCGTGGGTGCGCATACCCAGTCGCATCCTCTAAAACAATATAGTTAACCAACTCTAGCCTATACTCCAACAAATGAAATCTCAACGGTAACGAAAACACATAGTTTGCTAATCTATCGGGTAGACGGTTAGCCTTTCTATACACGTGAAAAATGTGGACTATTCAGTCACACGGCAAAAAGTCATAGCCACTGTTCTACACCGGCCATATATCCATCATAACCTGACAATCACGAAGAACATGCATAATTGTCTCCTCACTACTCTTACAAACCGAACATAAAAGCATGCGTCACTTAAATGCCGCCGGTGTCTTTCAACATTGGTTATTATCACCTGATGCACCGTTAAGAAGAGAACTCTCTCAGGTGCCACCACTCCCCATACGCAATCAAAGAGCTTCCCCATGTTCTGTCTTGGTGAATTATCCCGAGTAAGAAATGAGTACGCTGATTTTACTGTAAAGTCCCCATTCATACTCTCCCTTTAGAAATCCTATTTTTAGCTCATGTAACATTGTCCAAAACCACCGCAGCGAGCCTCAATCTGATATTCTCTAGCGTGAACTGCCCAACATATGCGAACTCCCAACCAAATCCATTTGGCCATATGTCCCTAGCCTGACCTCCTCATAACCAACCGGTAGATCTCTTGTTACCATTTCATACAGTAGCTTGCCCAAAAACGGATTCTCACCCCAAAAACGGATTCTCACCCATATCACCAAGCACCCAACAACGTTTTTTAATCAAAGCAATGTAAAATTGTAAACCATCATTATATTTTAGTTTTTTTTTTTTTTTCTAGAAATAAGCGCAGATTTTGGGAATTTCCATTAATTAATCATTTCTTGGGTCTGAATGGCTAAAACAAAAGGAACCGAAAGAGAATGTTCTCTCTGTCTTTATCTTCCACTTCCACTCACACTTCCACTTTCAGGTCGCGTTGCTTCACTCTCCATTGCAAAGAGAGGTCGCTGAGATTTCTGCAATTCACCCCTGAAACCTTCTCAATTTACTTCAATTGCCACTATACCTAAACTTCATCTTTCTCCACTGAGCTATGATAAAGATTGCAGATTTCACTCTCTTCTTCATCTTCTTCATCTTCTTCGTCTCCTCTTCCTCGTTGCTTCTAGCTCAATCTCAGCTTCCCAATATCGACCCACAAGACAAAGCTTCTTTATTGATATTCAGAGTTTCGATTCACGACCTAAATCGAAGCTTATCGACATGGTACGGCTCATCGTGTTCTAACTGGACAGGTCTAGCTTGTCAGAATCCGACCGGAAAAGTTCTCTCTCTCACTTTATCTGGTCTGAATCTCTCCGGGCAGATTCACCCATCTCTTTGTGAGCTCTCTTCTCTTCAAAGCTTGGACCTTTCTCACAACAATTTCTCTGGAAACATTCCTTCTTGCTTCGGTTCGTTGCGTAATCTTAGGACACTTAATCTTAGTCGGAATAGTTTTGTTGGTTCGATTCCGGGAACATTTGTGAGTCTTAAGGAGCTTAGAGAAGTTGTTCTAAGTGAGAATAGAGATTTGGGTGGTGTGATTCCTCATTGGTTTGGGAGTTTCTCGATGATTCTTGAGAGAGTTGATTTAAGTTTCTGCTCGTTTCTTGGAGAATTACCTGAGAGTTTACTGTATTTGAAGTCTCTTAAGTACTTGAATCTTGAGAGCAATAACTTGACTGGTACACTTAGAGATTTTCAGCAACCATTGGTGGTTCTTAATCTTGCTTCAAATCGGTTTTCGGGTACATTGCCTTGTTTCTACGCCTCTCGTCCGTCTCTTAGTGTTCTGAATCTGGCTGAGAACTCTTTGGTTGGTGGATTACCTTCTTGTTTGGGTTCTTTAGAAGAGCTGAGTCATTTGAATCTGTCCTTTAATGGCTTTAACTACGAGATATCTCCGAGGTTTATGTTTTCAGAGAAGCTTGTGATGCTGGACTTGAGTCACAACGGGTTTTCAGGTCGTCTTCCTAGTAGAATCTCAGAAACAACTGAGAAACTGGGTTTAGTTCTTCTTGACCTCTCTCACAATAGGTTTTCTGGTGATATACCGTTGAGGATTACCGAGTTGAAGAGTTTACAAGCATTGCGTCTCTCTCACAATCTTTTAACGGGAGATATCCCGGCTAGAATTGGGAATCTGACATATCTCCAGGTTATTGATCTTTCCCATAACGCATTAACCGGCTCAATACCTCTCAACATTGTTGGTTGCTTTCAATTGCTTGCTCTGATGATTAGTAATAACAATCTCTCGGGCGAAATACAACCCGAGCTTGATGCGTTGGACAGTTTGAAGATACTGGACATAAGCCACAACCAGATTTCGGGTGAGATACCGCTTACTTTGGCTGGCCTGAAGTCTCTAGAGATTGTGGATATCAGTTCCAATAACCTCTCAGGAAACCTGAATGAAGCCATTACCAAATGGTCCAACCTCAAGTATCTCTCTCTTGCCCGGAACAAATTTAGTGGAACACTTCCTTCTTGGTTGTTCAAGTTCGACAAAATCCAAATGATCGACTACTCCAGCAACAGATTCTCTTGGTTCATACCAGACGATAACTTAAACAGCACACGTTTCAAAGATTTTCAGACCGGTGGAGATGAAAGATTTGCAGAGCCACCAGGAAAAGTAGAGATCAAAATATCAGCAGCTGTGGTTGCTAAAGACGAACTAAGCTTCAGCTACAATCTATTATCCATGGTTGGGATTGATCTTTCTGACAATCTATTACACGGAGAGATCCCAGAAGCTTTGTTCAGACAGAAGAATATCGAGTACTTGAACTTATCCTACAACTTCCTTGAAGGTCAGCTTCCGCGTCTAGAGAAGCTGCCAAGATTAAAGGCTTTAGATCTTTCACATAACTCTCTGTCGGGTCAAGTCACTGGAAACATCTCAGCTCCTCCAGGACTGACCCTACTGAATCTATCTCACAACTGTTTCTCTGGAATCATTACCGAGAAAGAAGGGCTCGGAAAGTTTCCAGGCGCTTTGGCTGGAAATCCGGAACTGTGTGTGGAATCTCCCGGAAGCAAGTGTGACCCGGCAAACATTGATGCATCACAAGAGGAAATATATCAAAACGAATTGGTGGAAGGACCGATATCGATTTGGATATTCTGCTTGAGCGCGTTTATTAGCTTCGATTTTGGAGTGTTAGGTATCTTTTGCTCAGCTCGTGCTCGTAGTTATATTCTTCAGACCAAAGCTTAACTCCAAAGATTGATTGATGTATATTCAGTTGTAACACATGCATGTATGTTGTTGGTCTGAGATGTGAAGTGGAAATGCTCGCTTTTAACTAAAATGTTAGTTTTATTTCCCAAATGTTGTTACTTCTGTATATAGTTTGACTGGTTTACATTTACATGAACCGTATTGGGTTCTTGTTCTGTTTGTGATTCAAGAAGTGATTAGACTGAATAATCCACCGAGTACAAAAACTGAACTATGCCAGGACTTAAGAAAAATAAGCTAAGCATCTTGTTAAACATCAGAGAGCAAGTGGTGGAAGACAAATCTTATCAAGCAGGCCAAACACAATCTTTTGCAATTTTGACAAAAACTCAGAATTTGGCTTTGTTTTCAAGAGTATACACAAAAAGACAATCCAATATGGCTTTGTTCTCACAGAAGTTTGACCATGCAATGCTTAATAGGCCAGAAAAAAAAAAAAAAAGGAAAAAAAAAAGTTGAGCTAGTGGCGGAGAATTATGTCTCTCTTCAAGCAGCAAGGCTTACTTGCAAAGCTACACATGAAAAATATTTGAGCTTCAGCACAACTTCGTTTAAACTCGAGCATCCTCAGTAACATGTCCTCATTCTCATCAATGTATGGATCCCGAGGTTTAGTGGAGAACGACTTTAGAATAGGAGAATTCTCTAGGATGAATCTAATAATAAGGAGCTCGTTTTGGACCCCAGCAATATTTTTAAGCTTGACACGCTCCAGCTTCTGTAGTTTACTGTCACAGAACTCAACTTCTCCCTCATTAATGGTTGGAGAATGGACGTGATGAGCCCTGTTAGCAAACTAGGCTGGATAATCCGATATATTTTGGAGCCGATACAAAAAATGAACCAAGCCAGGACTTATGGAAGATAAGCAAAGTATCTTGTTAAACATCAGAAAGCAATGGGCAGTAGGCCAAATACAATCTTTTACAGTTTTGACAAAAGCTCAGAAAAAGAAGTTGATATAGGGTCTCATTGACTATGGTTCATGGTTGTAGCTTTACGTTTTAGACGGTAGATTTTTTTTTTTTTTAGCTATAGTATTTTGACTGTAATTTGTTTTTTTTTAATAAAAAAAGCATGATTGGTAATTGTGGCTGTAGCGTTTTAAAAAAAAAATGTGATTGATAATTTTTAAATGTGTATTACTATAGATTAATATTTCTTTATATTAAAATGATAATATTAATTAAAAATAAAATAAATTTATAACAATTTATAATTCTTAAACAACATTTTTAATTTATTATTTATCTACTAAATGTAATATGGAAATTTTTATATATTTAAAATATATAAAATACATAATATATGCTTATATGTATTATATATGAGTAAGGAAAGAGTTTGTAAAATATATTATTAAATTTAAGCTTATACATATATATTCACATGTTTTTCCTTACTCATATATAATACATATAAGCATATATTATGTATTTTATACACGTTAATATATATTGTACAAAGTTTTAATATTCAAACATAATTGCTTACGCATACGAGAAAAACTCAAACAAAACAATCTCTATCTCCAAAATAAACTCCTCTTGAAACCTATTCAAAAAGCAGGAAGAATCAAACAAACTCCTGAAGATTAAGTTACACGAATTCAAAAGGCAGAATCAATCGACAAATTAATGAGCAAGAGAATGGTCTGCACTCTGTCTTTCTCAATTATAGGTCTTAAGTACATATAACTATCCGTTTTGTGACAACAAACTATTGTAACAACAATTTGCTAATATTATCTACAAATTAGAGACATATTTTAATTTAATACGATTTGAAGAAAATTTGTTATTAAACGTAGTTAAATAGCGACAAATATTAGGGAAATCATATTGTAATATCTGTTGGAACATCCGTCCTCCATCATAAATCCATCCGAAAAGAAGTATCCTTTTATGTGCTTGACTTATCAACCGAAAGTGTGGAGGAAGGAAAACTAAAATTGCTACGCTAGGGCTGCTCCACTAGTAGAAGGTTCAAAGGAATGCCAAAGAGTGAACTAATGTGCTGCACAAGCTCTGCTCAAGATTTCTAATTATGAAACTGGAACCCCTAAAAAGATAAAAGAAGAGAGCCATTCCCGTAGAAGGAGTGTGCTTATGCTAAAGAAGTGGGATCTTGCTTTGCTAGAGAAAACTTCATTGCGAGAAATTAGGTTGGATAATAAAATAGTGAGAAGGGATTAGATCCTGGAGCTTCGCTAGTAAAAGATGCTATGTTTGAGCCGATCTGGTCGGTGACGAAGAATCGTAGCTTGCAAGCAGAGGAAGACACTCCAAGGACTTCGGGGTGTGCTGAGCAGAAGCACAATCGGGTGATAATTAGCCAGTGTGCTAAAGAAGAAGCAGCACAATTAAAAAGAAAAGAGAACTCAACTCCATGCTTACTTAGGAATCTACCTCCACTAGCTAAGAGGTCTTATTACTGAGCCTAAATATAGTTCAGTCTAAAGCTGGCAGAGCTTTAGCCAGACCTAGCGAAGAAAAGTAAATCTTCAAGCTTGCTTCGCTAGAACGAGGATTTGCTACTCAACCAACCTACCCCAGGAACAATCAACTGAGCATTTATCGCCCAAGTATTATTGCATGTGTGTATGCGTGTTTGTTTAGAAGCTTCCGTCAACTCCTCTGTGTTACTTCAAAGTTCTTTGTCTATTGCTCACTTAATCAAGGAAGAAGCCTTATCTATCTTCTATTCTCTTGTACTCCTAGCGAAGCAACTCTTCACTTGCTTCGTTTGAGGTTTCTGTAGCTGACTTCACCTATATTTATTGCTGAAAAATTGAATCAATTTTATTTAATTGATGTCAAACTAATTAATTATGACATCAGTTAATATAATTGATGCTAAGTCATATATATTTACTTCATTTATAAAAAAGTAATTTAAAATAACATCACTTTGTTTGGATATACAAACCGGACAATCGGGGCTGAGAACTCTTGGGATACCGATCCAAGCATCGGTTCGTGATGCCCTCGGTCCGCGCAGATGGAGACTAAGACGGACAAGGCTCTTGCATTTAAAGCTCGGATCTGGTGGTTTGGTCAGGGAATGCCTCGCTGCAATTTAATTTCATCACATGGCTAGCGGTTCGCAATCGTCTCTCCATGGATGATCGAATGCGGGTCTGGGGATTCAATCAACCATGTGTTTTTTTGTAGAGAACCGGATGAATCTTACAATCATCTATTCTTCGCTTGTCTGTTTTCCTTTAATGTATGGTCAGCTCTAGCGGGATCAATCCTAAGGCACCGCGAAGACCCAGATTGGGAGGCGACTTTGACTCAACTGACGAGAGGGACTGGAAATCATCTACATGACATCCTTCTCCACCTTTGTTTTCAAACTACCATCTACCTCCTTTGGAAGGAGAGAAACATGCGGATCCATCAAAGTGGATACTTCACCATGTAGCAAATCATTAGGCGAGCTGAAAAGCTTGTCTGAAATAGGATAAACTCCCTGGATTACATGACCCGACCAAAGCTTCGAGCTCTCCTACAACAAGGATTCGCCGTTTCGTCCATGTGTCCTTGCAAATACATGACGTGGGTTTTCTCCTCTCTTATCTAGCTTCTCTTTACGTGTTTGTCATAGCAGGGTTAATGCTCTGTTTTTGCTGTTCTTGATACTCTTTTGTATAGATTTTCACAATTTGCTTAATCAATTACACATTCAAAAATTAGAAACAATAACATCACTTAGTTTTGTGATACAATACACTCTTTTTTTTTTAAGTGTAATGTGCATTATTCCTTAAAATATACCGCCTAAATCCTTGCAATGGTGGAAAGTTTATTGTTATTGATATAAACTCCAAAATTTTACTTTGCTTAGAATTATAAATCAATTATTAGATTTTGTTAATCTTTTTTTGTTTTAATAATGGATATACTTCATTTAAGCGAATAATTTCTATGAACGGTGTTTAAGGGATATTGAAATTGTTGTTTTCAGTTTACTTTTTAGTTAATATAGTAAAATGAAAATTTTAATTAGATTATGAATTTTTTTTTTTTTTAGATTATGATTTAACTCCCACGCTATAATAAAATTTAAATATCAAATTTAATATAATAAATTTTGAGGTAAATTTTATTTTAACTAGGAAACTAATTACGATACTTAGAGAATATTATTGGTTTGTGATTTAAATAGAGTTTTAATGACTTAAAATGTTATGAAGAATCTGTTGATTCCCCTGTTTTCGTGAGCCAAAGAAGAAGTCAGCTCTTAGTCTAAAGAAGTCAGCTCTTACTCTAAAACCAAAAAATACAATAAAGAAGTCAGATCTAACTCGTTTTGGAATGATTTTGTCAGCGAAGAAGTCGACTAGTGTTCGAGTGGGGAAACACGTTGTATACTATAAGTCTATAACTTTGACCAAAAAAAAGAGCAAGTTGTCAACTATAATTCTGTCTTCTTTTGCAACTTCCATTTCTGGCCACCGAAGTTTCAAGCAAAACACCAAAAATTATCTTTTTAGAATATTAATGACTAATGAACTCTATATATCTCACAAAAGCAGGAAATGTTTTCTCAATCCCAACCAAAGAGAAGAATCTATCAAACTCCTTTTGTGTCTAAGAAAAAAAGCTCTTTGATAATGTCGGGAGCATCTTCTGTTTCTTCTATTTGTTCTTCTAATGTATCATTGATCCCTACGGGACCTCAAGTGTTCATCAATTTCCGAGGAAAAGATTTACGAAAAGGTTTCCTCAGCTTTCTTTCGCCTGCTTTAAAAAAAGAAAAGATCAACGTGTTTAAAGACGAGCAAGAGGAAAGGGGCAAATACCTAATCAGTCTGTTTAATACGATAGGAGAGTCGAAAATCGCTTTGGTTATCTTTTCCGAGGGATACTGCGAGTCACATTGGTGTATGGACGAGCTAGTAACAATAAAGGAATACATGGATAAAAACAGACTCAAAATCATTCCAATATTCTACAGGCTTGAGCTCGACGTGGTGAAAGATCTTACAGGTAAATTCGGCGATAATTTCTGGAATATGGTAGATAAATATCAACCTGAACCAGAAAAACTCCAGAAATGGACGGAAGCTTTGTTCTCTGTTTGCCAATTGTTTGCCTTGATCTTACCAAAACACAGGTTTTTATTTTTCCACTTTTATGTTCTTATTACTTCACAAATTAATATCTAGTCATTGAAACATTTTGTCTTTTGACTCATTGAAATTTTACTCTTTTTATTTTTTTTGGTATCATAGTGACACTTCCGA